CCTCTGTGCAAATAATCACTTGCAACTCACAGAGAATCTCCATCTGATGAGCTCCCCACTATCCAGCTATTACACAGAAAGTTTGCAAATAGCCACATGAATTTGAGCAGCCATCACTCCCATCTTACGGATGGAGGAAGCTCATGGATGAACAGAAGGACCATGAGAAGCATTATCTGATTCAAGACCTGATGCATTCAGTGCTTCAGTGTGTTCACTGGGAAGGGACAGATGTTCAGGCTTTGGCCAAACACATCAAGAGATAAGAGGTTTATTCTTTCAACAGTCTCAGTGAGTTAAGACACTGTACCTGTAACTGCAGTGGAAAATGGTGGTAAACAGAGACAGAAATAATTTCCCCAAACAGTACTAGGAACAGAAGACTGAGGAATATTGGAGCTCAACATCATCAGCATTAATATTGTGTGGGTGAAGTACCCACACACTGCAATTTAGGCCACAACACACATGCTGTGTTCAGCCTTAGCAATTTAGGCAGAGCTGCCAATGCACCTCAGCTTTGCTTTGCAGCTTATCCACAGCTCCAGTGGGAACAGCCAGTGAATGAAGACTGTTAGTCATACGGAATAGTGAGGAGTTTTAAATGAGGACAGATGTCTTCTGTCATTAGAGTAGAGACTACCAAATTAATTTCACTTATGGCTTACAGTGAGCAGGAACTAGGCCCAACCCTCCAGAGAAAACAGGTCAGTTCTCTACGAGCTGCTCGTGCCAGTTAACTCCCTGCTACTGGCAGGCAAGTGGAGACAGGCAGAGAGTTCAGGGGTGAGCCTGGAATGCTGTTATACCACCTGCAGGACAGGTACCACCTCGTGGTGAGCAAGCAGCTTTGAGATGAAAGCTCTGACATGATTTTCAAACAGTATTTTCTCAAGTATGTCAAGCTTTACTTCAGTGTATTAAGACTACTACACCTTGAGAGGACAAAATCCTTCCCAACAAAATGGGAGTCAATGGAAGCAAAGAGATGAGAGGACATACCACTGTCACTTCTGGATCTCACACAAGCCAGGCCAGGGACACCTCCACCCTCTCTGAATTTCTGACATGCTGCAGGAGCAAACTGCTGCTACCTGTACCCATGGCAACTCCAGAACCAGCACTGTGCTGACTGGGATGGGCAGACACAGGACATTTTTGCAGCAAACTTCTGTGTGTCTTCAACACAAGAAACCTGCAACAATTCATCAACTCCACATTTCTACTCCAACAGTTCTCTGCTCACCCCTAAGCTCCTCTGAAGCACAAAAAACAGGCCAAATGAACCATGAAAACATTACTTCGTCTACACTCAATGCTCTTTTTTTTGTGAGATCATAAACATTAAGAGAATGGAAGTTTAAACAAAAGCATTTAAACAAAAGCAATGACACAAAGTATTTCACCTGTCACATGGTACATCAACAGGGAACTAAACACCACACTGCTCTGCTTGCAACTCACCTCCTCTTGGAAATTCTTCAGCTGCTGCTCATACTCTCTAACCATGTCCTGCTTGGATTTCTCCACATCTTCGACCTGGCTACGCAACATGCAAACCTGAAAGAAGTGTTAAAAAGCAAATAAACACAACAGAAGTAGACTTTCTTGTCAGCAGCTACTGGGACATTTCAGTGGGGTCACTCCCTAGGAATCAGACTGAGTCTCTGCCTGAATTTCTGCTAGGCTGAGGCCAGAACTGTTTCTGTTCTGGCCTCTTGTTCTGAGCCAGTTTCTGGCTGTCAGTTTGGGGGATGAACTGACAGGTTTGGTTTGTGCCAAAAAAGCTGTTTCTACCCAGTACTGTCATCAAATTCTTCACAAATATGCATTATGATGTCAAGCTATCTACCAAGAGAAAAGTTGGCCATGTCATTGTCTTGCAAGGCTCAGGTAAAGCAGATTCCAAATGAGGGAGAAAGAAAGAAATGAGGCTTTGGAATTCACTGAGAAAACTTCCCTCTGCAAGGGAAGTTTTTTTTTCCCATTCACAGCCCAGGTCCAAAGGACAGCAAGCCCACAAATGAAAATGGAAATAAATCACCACAGAAAATTCGTATGAGCAAACCAACACCATGAATGTACTTCAGTAGTGACCTCAACCACACTTGCCAGCTCAGTTTTGAAACCCATGTTCGCTTTTGGTGGTAAGAAACATTTCAAATGTATTGAGAAAACACAATTGATAACCTTTATGATAAAAATCACCTTTCTTGCAAGTGGAAACCTTGTGGCTCAACTCCAGATTTAATCAAAGGCATTAGTTTCCAAACTTGTGGTGCAGAACAGAAGAAACATGTGGCTGTACTAACAAGAAACTAGAGTCCTTAACCCACTGCTGCTCTTTATTTCACTAGGTCCTACACCAAATGACGACAAGCTACAGCAGCATGTGGTTAATTTTGGGAGTGCAGCATAATTTAACAGGCACTCAAAACAACCCAGCTGCTGGTGCAGTTATCAGATGGCTTCTGACCCAGGAAGTCAAAGCACTGCATCAGAAAGCTGCCAAAATATAATTTGCAGGGCAGAGTCTGCCAAAAGACAGGCTGCAGCAGATATAAGGACAAGCCTTAAACACTTCCAGAACATGTCAGTGTGGCCAGACCTTCAGATACAGCCACCCCAGCTCCTGATGGATTCCCCTAAACCAGAGAGAGATACATCAGTTCATTCACACAAGGCAAAGTTTATGGTCCTGTGCAACAGCTTCACTTACTGATACTTCTCTGCCAATATGGGAATATTTTGCACTTCCTCCAGGCCTTTCATTGAAGGCTACAAAACCTGAGCTGCAGAAAGCAGCCCCTGGAGAATCTCCCAGCAGTATCTTGGTGCAGCTCACACACCAAATGGTTTTTCTAGCAATGACTGCAGGGCTGTCCCATTACTGCTGGATCTCTGAAATCTCCTGACAGGTCAAGCTGTGGACTTCCACCAACCCTGAGGGAGCTGATCACCTCACTTTGACAGAACTATCAACTGGACACCTTGCTCCAAAAGGCTCCTTTCTAAGTTCAATTCCTGATTTCCTAACAGGTAAAACACACTGGTTGACTCCAGTCAGAAAACAGGATGAAATGGAGGTACCTCCTTATGCTTTTCCTGCAGAGCAGCCCTGGCAGAGGAAAGCTCCTGCTCCCGAGCACTCAGGCAAGCTTCCAGGGCCTGTGTCTGTCCCTCCCACTCGGATTTCTTGTGAGCCACCATAATGTCGATCTGCTTCATTAGCTCCTGCAGCTCAGCCTCACAGGATGTCAGGAACCCACCACTGGAAGGGAAAGGGCTTGGAATTACAGAGCAGGTACCACTCAACATGGGTCCTGTGTCCCAAACCCACCAAGGCAGCAGAACACACCGACTTGCCCCAAGCACCAACTCTGCACCCGCAGAGCTCCCAACTCTTTACCAATCAGCTTGCAGAGAAACAGAGTCACAGAATCATTCAGGCTGGAAAAGACCTCCAAGACCAGCAGGTCCAACCTTTGTCCTAGTCCCACCCACACCCACTAAACCATATCCCTTCACACTTAGGCATTCATCCCTTTGTCTCAATACTAGGCATTACCAGAGCACGTTTTACCCCTGTTTTGTATTTGCCTTGATTGCTCTCCAGGCAGAGGCATTTTATACCAAGTTTCAGTCACCAGAAGAATCTTACAGCCAAGCTATCAGCTCCTGAAAACAGGAGTTTATCACGAATGCAGACAGAGCTGGGAGCAGAGGGGGCTGGATGACAGGATGATAATGAAGACTCAAGCCCTCACAGGCGCCAGGAGAGCGCGGTCCCTAGCGACGCCTGACTTCTAATTTGGTGCAGTAATTACTGAGCCAATTCCACTAACTCCTCTCAAACTTCCCAAGCTGCTAAGCCAGGGACAATATTAAGGCTTGCAAGACACAGCCCTAGAGGGTGGTGAACTCCATAATGATCTTTACCCTTTTAATTTGCCTGTCAAACGGGAAGAACTGAAAAGAAATGGAAATCAATAGGTTAAGGGATAGAAATTTCTCTGTTTCCCCAGGGCAGACACACACTTCAGCACTTGGCAGTTTTCTATAG